GAGGAGAGGAGAGGAGAGGAGAGGAGAGGAGAGGAGAGAAGGCGAGCAGGACATCCAGCTTCTGACCTGGAACCTTCCTTGTGGTAAGGAGGAAAGAGTGGTAATGGAAGCTGGCATGGAAGCTGCAGCAGGTTTACAAATGGGTGATGTTGAGAAAGACAAGAAGATTTTGTACAGAAGTGTGCCTGATGCCACACTGTTAAGGAGAGTGGCAAGCACAAGACTGGGTCAAATCTCCATGGTATCTTTGGGCAGAAGACAGGTGAGGCGGTTGGATTCTCTTACACAGATGACAGCAAGAACAAGGGCATCACCTGGGGAGAGGATGCACCGATGGAGCATTTGGAGACTCCCAAGAACTACATTCACAGAACAGAAATGATATCTTCTGGCATCAAGAGGAAGGGAGAAAGGGCAGACTTAATAGCTTACCTCAAAAAGGCTACTAATGAGTAATAGTCACTGCTTTATTTATTATAGAACAGAAATGTCTCATGGCTTTTTTTATGTGTGCCATAGTTTAATAGATCTCATACATCAGAACACGAATCATGAGTGGCTGACAGAATATTTTGTTGGACAACACTGATTTAAGTGAAGTTTCCTTATAGTTAAATATTTTACATTTTTCAAAAAAGAAAGAAAGAAAGAAAGAAAGAAAGAAAGAAAGAAAGAAAGAAAGAAAGAAAGAAAGGAGAAGGAGAAAGAAAGGCCTAGCAGGTCCTTAAGCCCGGCTCCCATGGGGGTCATGGCCCCTCTGTAGCTCTCTGGCACTGTTCCCTGCTCTGCTGCCCAACCTCCACGAGCAAGCGGCCTTGCTCCTCGGCACCCGCACCATGATGTCTCTGCATCAGAGCCGCCAGACCACAGGCTTACTGTGAGCAAATAAAAGTTTTTCTCCTTCAAGTTGGTGGGTCAAGTATTGTGTCCCAGCGAAGGAACCAAAATGAGAAAAGAAGGGCCGTGAAACAAATGGCAGGGCACTCGGCAGAGGTGAATAAAGGAAGCTAGTGGCCGGCTCCAAAACCAAGTAAAGCTGCTCACACCCGAAGGTGCTCACTGCTTCCCGGGACAGAAGACTGGCTTTCTTACTTTCTCTGCTTGCTGCTCTTCCCCAGAGGATGTCATTTCTCAGACTTTCACTGGAAAGTGGCTGGGGATTATTGGAAAGTCCATCTATAGAGACCCCAACTCTGAAGTTCTCAGACTGGTTGCCACACAGGTTAAAACAGTGGCTGACTACCCCAAAATGTTGTATAGTTTCTCCAGCTGAAAACCACTCTAGTTAAAGCCTTCTCCCTGGTACCTCTGCCTGTTACCGCATGATGCTAGGAGGACGGTTGTTCAGACCATGTTGAGATCAGCACGTTCCTTAGGCGACTTCCCCAGACACCAGCGCTGTGTTGTGGAGAGCCTGCCTCACCAACTGCAGCTGGCAGCGCACAGCCACAGCTCCCTGGCCCCCAGGTTTGGTGCCTGAAGGAGTTGTGGGCGCGAACACTGGCACAGAGCCCGATGGACAGTTTCTGTCCTGCCCAGGGGATGCCAGGCACCGAAGCCAAAGGAGCGCCTTTGTGGAGAAAGAATGTTTTGTGTATACCAGTCTTTGGATGAATAGCATGGAAAGACATGGAAAGTGGGAAGCGCTGGACTGCTTTCTCTGCCAGTGCTTTCCGGAACTGTCAAAAGGAAACAGGGTAACCAGGACTCCATAGGAAGGAGGCAAATATTAATTAGCCAGCTGAGTGCAGCTTTGGCCACAGGTACACTGGGGTCACCCTTCTTGTCCCTGATTTAATCCATTGAAAATGATTATGATATATGTGTTTCTGTTTTTGTTTTAATACAGGAACATGGACTTTCTGAATTAGAAAATATTCCCTGTCAGGAGCTGGATTTGAGGACTCCCACTTGCAGAGTGCATACAAGTTGGGAGACATTTAACGGTCGTTTCTTGTAACTTTTATATTCTGTTCAAATGCAGACATTGTTATAGAGAGAAGGCCTTAAAAAGCCAGACATGTAGTTCTCTTGGGTTTCTAGAAAACCGCCACACTCCTGATTCCTGAGACACTGGTTTTCTTTTCCCTCCTGGATGAGGTGTTGTTCTCCGCCATCCTGTGGATGTTTGGGGAACTGCACTCTCCCAAAATGTCTGCGGTCAGCAGAGGAACATGCTGAGAGGAAGCGGAGAGAGGGCTGCTGTAACCCCTGGGACCCCGGAAGTGAAAAACAGGTTGCAGCTTTGCCCAAAGGGGAACCAGCTCAGGACAGAATAAGAAGGACCACTGTGTCCCTCTTACCTGCCAGGCATCAGGTCATCTGCTACTGTAGTCTCCAAGTTCTGAGGAGGTTCTGAGACTGCCTTTACTTTAGAGGAAGCAAGAAAGTAGGATATGAGCATCGGCGATGTTTGTGGGCTGCTTTGCACAATGCTGGCTTTTTTAGTGCTTGTGTCCTGTGGTCCTTGTGCAGCAAGAGAGGTGGCTTTTGGGTGAGAGCATGGCAAGAAAGACTTCTCATAGCATGGGAGAAGCCCAGAAAGAGCTTGGGGCAAAAAGTGGCACACTTGGTATACATGGGACTTTTGAAGTGACTTTTGGAAAGCAGCTTACAAACTTGAAGAGAATAACACACAGTCTGCTCTGGGTGGCGCAGAGGAGATCCCCACGAGACCCAGTGTGGTACAGTTCCAGCTTTCACTTGCCCCCATAGCGTGCCAGCTGTGTAACCCTGGGCACTGCGCCTAAGATGGTCCATCTTTTGTGCTCTGTAAAGTATGGTTAATAACAAGCCCTGTCTCATGGGAAGCTTGGAGGACTAAATGAGACAAAACCCGGGCAAGACTGGTGGCTGTCTCTCAGAACTCGTTCATGTGTATAACTAACTTGTGGCAGAGAAAGCTGCCACGTGAACAAGTTTCCAGAACCCTCTGTAAACATGCAGTAGGAAGAAATAATCGTGGATGTGGTGATGGAGGTGACAAGCCGTCACAGTGTCTAATTGTGGCAGCACAGAGGATGAATGATTCCTGAAAGATAAATCTTAGTTCCATGACCAGGAGGACCCAGAGGGACTGTCTCCACTGAGAGCACCCTTAGTTATGGAGACTGTCAAGAGCTCAAACTCTCAGGCTTTCATTTAGGATATCAGTGTACAAGAAAAAACACCTTGGGCAAGGTGCTGTCTCAAGGCCAGGCAGTTTTCTTGGGGAAAGGGGAAGGACAACAGCCAAACACAACATACATGCTTCTCTAATCTAAACTTCTTTCATTCCTCACAGAGCCTGTGTGCTTTTGCTCCAACCCTTTGAAAGGCACAGCGGTGATGTACACTCTAAAGTTCTGTAGTCTCTGGTTCTGAACAGCCTAAACTATGTCATTGTCTCTATGGGGATCAACTGTGAGCCACAGTATGTGTGAAGTATGACACAGTATGTGTCTCTATGTGTGAAGTAGTTAAAGAACTTAAATAACCCAAGTGGAAAGACACCAGGCTCTGTGTTCCCAAAACAGCCGCACTCGGCACTCAAGCAAACACTTGGGCTGGAGGCTGCTTGGTGACAAACAGCTCCCAGGCTGTCTTTGGGGTCCCCTTAGAGACAGATGCCTACAGAGCCTGGCTGGTAGAACAGGGCATCCTAGTGAGCCCTGTGGTGAATGTGGTTCTTCCAGAAGGCACCTAACAGGATAGAGAATTTAGAAGCAAAACCCAAGGACAGACATTGGTCATTTTTGCTCACCTTCCATCAGTGATGCTAAGCTCTTGAGTATGTGCTCACGGTTTCTAGAAATAAGCATCATCTTTTTTTTTTTTTTTTTTTTTGTATTTAGTACAAGGTCTACAGGGTCTCACTACACAGATTAGACTCATAGTGATCCTCCTATTCTCAGACTCCCAAGTGCTGGAATTATAAGTGCGTGCCACCACGCCCAGTCTCATTCACCAACTCAGCGCACCCCGGGGCAGGGGCTGGCACAGCATGCTGGGGATTGAGTCCCAGTCCCTGAGCCTGCCTAAGCAGGCGCTTTAGTCTGCTGAGCTAGCTATCTGGCCGGCTTGATAACCATCACCTTATACAGGAAAGAAGTGAACATTTGTTGATTAAACTTAGTTAGATGTTTAATTTTCTCAACAGCCCTGTGGAATAGGAATCACTATTTTGTCTATTTCACAGGCAAGGAAACTGAAGTGCAGTAAAGCAGAGTGGCTTTGCTAATCTACCCAGCCAGGAGATGGAGGCAGAGACAGGGTAGAGATAGGATAATCTTAGCGATGCTTCATTTTTGTGTGTGACACAGCACCAGGCATAATACCCTGAACTTAGGAAAAACTTAGTAAATGTCTACTGAATTGGGAATGGAAGGATTTATGTGTCAAAAGGGCATTTGAAAACAGAAGCAAATGCCCAGGCAGGGCTCTGAAAGATCAGCTACGTAGAGAAGCAGCTGGCAAATCATCAATTTAGCCCTCGCCGTCACCCAGCCAGCAGCTTGTTGAATTGCAACCAGCCATGTACAAAGAGTGACTTGATCAGTTTGAGATTTTTTTTCTTTAATTTCAGGCAACCCACCTTCCAAAGAGGTGCCTGCTGGGAAGTATCCATTCATAGTCACTTCTGATGATGGGCGGAAGGTGCCTGTGGTCCAGGCCTATGCTTTTGGCAAATACCTAGGCTATCTGAAGGTCGAGTTTGATGAAAAAGGAAATGTCATCACTTCATCTGGGAATCCCATTCTCCTAAATGCCAGCATTCCTGAAGGTATGTGACAGGTGAATTTTATACCACTCAAAAATTAGGTGGCTCGACTTTCTCTTTCCTTACCCTCCTTTCAAATTCTTTTAACTATAATACTTATGAAGAATTTAGTTGCTCTCTTCACGGAGAAGGACACTGAAAACTCCCAACTGCCAAAATCCCCATTTGCATTCCCAGGTCTTCTTAACATCGGACTCTACACCACTGCTGTTCTTGCCTTTTAGAAGCACAATCCTGACAGGACAGGGCTGCTCCTGGCCCACATCTAGAGTGCGGCCCACATCTGTATATTGAAACAAGGGGTTTAACCCAGACAGAATAGCATCCCCCATAGGGCCAGTATGTCATGGGCAGGTGCCTCAGTTTCTCTATGCACCAGCTAAATCCTCTGCCTCCTTTCTTCCTGGAAATCAGGGTAGAAATACATTGTCATTTTCACCATAGAGTGAGCACCCTCCTGTGCTCCTCTCACTGGAACTTCTCAGTGTACCATGATCCACTCAGAAGGACAGGCATTGAGATGCCAGAGAGCCAGGAAGCACTGCAGTTAGCACCGCCTCTCTAAGCCACCAATGTTGGGCTCGAGACAACACACACCCTTCAGCAGGCCCCTTGTATGTACCTGGGCCTTTCAGAGACCCTTGCCTCCAGCGGAGCAGCCCCAAGAAGACTGACAGGTTCTGACCCAGGCCTGCTAAGTTGATGTTAAGATGTCCAGTATATCCTTGAACTAAGAGCCAGCCCAGGTCTTACTGCAGGAAACAAATAGAAATCCCTAATGAAATTTGATGGATGAAACAAAAATATATGTGCAGTTATCATAAAGAAATGTGCACAGAATGGTCCCCCACTTATTGCAGAGATTACCTTCCAGACGCGTTTGCGATAAATGAAAAACAGCAAAGTAGCAACATTATATTTATTTAAGGCTTAATAAACCTTTCCCATACTCTTATAAGCCTTTCCCACATTTATAAAAACACTTCTAACATTCTTAACCATTTTCTAAACTCATAAACCTACATAATTTTAACACATGAATACTGCATGGTACTGCAAAATCCTGCAATATAGTGAAAAATCTGTGATAAATAATTTAGATTAATTTTTTTGAGGGCCGGCAAGATGGCTCAGTGGACTAAGTGTCTGCTTTGCCAAGCACAGGGGCCAGGGTCAGATCCCCAGACCTGCATGTTGTGCCAGCCCTACCTCTGGGGCTCACTGAGCCTGCGACCACATCAGGGTGTAGTGGCACATGCCTGTAATCCCAGCACTAGGAAGGCTGAAAACAGGAGGATCACTACAAGTCTGAGCTGCATAGTAAGACCCTGTACCAAATACATAAAATAAAAAAAGAAAAATCCTTATTTTTTTGAAAACCCACAAAATAGTCCATGAACATCAAGCCACGAAATCATGATAACTAAGCTAGTTAATGTGTGATTCCTTCTCTAGAATTTAGCATATTGGCATCTGCTTTAACTATAGGTTTTTTCTCTCCATCCTTCCTATTTTCTTTTCTCAATTCTTTCCTTCTTTTTCTCCTAGATCCAAGCATAAAAGCGGACATCAACAAATGGAGGATACAGTTAGCTAATTATTCTACTCAGGAACTGGGGAGAACTGTTGTCTATCTGAATGGCTCCACCCAGGCGTGCCGTTTCATGGAATGCAACATGGGCAACCTGATCTGTGATGCTGCGGTAAGTCACTGCAGGAGCAAAGGTCTGCCAGGAAGAGGAAAGGAAGGTGCAGAATGAGGGGCAAACCAGCCAGGGTTTACTAAAGAAACTGATATAGTACAAGTATACAAATGCATAACAAATTACAAGATCAGATTACAGTGGTCGGCCACAGCCAGGTGAGGAAGAGTGCAGAGGGCATCTACACACTGGAGACCGAAGGTTCTAGTCTGAGGTCTGAGATAACTACAGTGTCTGCGCAAGTCCACGCCAGGAGGCCGATGGGCCTAGGATGGAAGGCTGAAGGATCTGCAGGAGAAGCCAAAGAGTCTCCTGTGGAAGCCAGGAGACAACATCTAAGCTGAAGACAAAGACTGGAACTGCTCTGAAGAATAGAAGCACATCTATCCTTCCTCATTTCCCCTTTATACCTTCAAGATGACAAAGTACCTTAGGATGGGTCTTCTGCACCTTAGGGAGTAGAATTGCTTAGCCAATTTAGTTAAGCTTCTAAACTTCTCAAAGTTGACGCAATCAACTAATCATTACAAGGGGGCCAACAGGATAGCAGAATTGAAGACTTACAAATGCAGTGCCCTGTCTAAAACTTGCCTGATTTTTTACCAAGTGACTTGGCATGGTTCCTGAACTATATTGGGCAACCATTGCCTTATTGTTATACAAGAAGTAAACCTTCAAGTTGTACTTGTTGGATGTCTGAATTTTTTTTCTATAAATGATCCAAAGACACAGACAAACTCTGCCACCCTGCAGATAGATAAAACACATCTGCTGAGATCTAACTTTGCCAGGCTGGTCTTCCCGGTCTGCCCATTTGTCCCTAGGGAACCTTGCCTTTGTGAGACAAGGTTCTCTTTCCCAAGCATAGAATGCTGGCCCACCATCACTATAAGAAGTCCCTGATCAGAGCAAGATAGCCCATGAGGAGCACTCACCTGAGTAGACTTCTGTGGTTATTCTCTGGGCATCAGGCTGATGCAGCTCAAACATGCCTTCCTATGGGTCCCCTGTCTATACCCACATGCTGGCATGTGGCACCTGGAATACACTTACATTCTTCTATGAAAGAAGTAGGTGGGGCTGGTGAGATGGCTCAGTGGTCTAAAGCACCTATTTGGAACAGGCTTGGCAAAGCACAGGAACCACGGTTCAATCCCCCAGCACCACATGCCAGCAAGCCCCGCCCCCTGGTGGGCTGAGCTGGCCACACACACACACACACACACACACACACACACACACACAGATAAATAAAAAAAAAATTTAAAAAAAAAAGAAAGAAGTAGGCAAAGAAAAGTCAGTGTGGGGCTGGTGAGATGGCTCAGTGGTCTAAAGCACCTACTTAGAACAAGCTAAGCTAAACAAAGCACAGGGACCACGGTTCAATCCCCAGCACCACATGCCAGCCAGCCCCGCCCCCTGGTGGGCTGAACTGGCCACACACAAAAAATAAATAAATAAATAAATAATTTTAAAAAAATGAAAAGAAAATTCAGTGTGCACGTATTTAGGGAAAAGTCTAGAAAGAAACCTGGTCTGCTAGAAATGTACACTTCTCTGTCAAAGAAGTTGGGTGTGTAGAGAACACTTACTTTTTGTGCTCTTTTTCTTGTCTTTCTTTTTTTTTTTTTTTTTTTCCAGAACTGAGGATTGAACTCAGGCCCTTGTGCTTACCAGGCAAGCTCTTATTCTACTGAGCCATCTCCCCGACCCTGTGCTTTTTCTAAATAATGAGAATATATTCATTCATTTTAAGTCTTCTAATTAGATACATCATTATAATTAAAAGTAAAAATGAACCTAATTCTTCCCAATTTCAGGAGGCTATCCCTGTACACCCCAAATTTCCAACTTGGGAGCTGGCTGGGGACCACAGACAAGGAAATTGGCTCCAGTTGGCATGATGCCTCATGTGGAGGGCCCAGCCTGCCCTGGAGGGCCTCTATGGGGCAGCATTTCAAGCCACTCCATTCCACCTTCCAGTCCTGATGTGAGGACCAGATCCTGGGACCTTTTGCTAAGGTCCAGTAGGCTAAGAGAACAGGAGATTCAGAGCTTCCTGTCTCTAAAGGCCTGAAACAGGACTGGTCACAATATAGTTTTGCTTCTGACTAACAGAAGGTAAACAGACTAGTAGAAGACAAAGTAATAATAATTGTTTTGCCTGATGGAGAATAAAAATCAGTTCTGACAACAGTTGAGAAATCTCTGGGAATACAGCTGCAGAGATAGCTAGAATCCTGGAACTGAGCCCAGGGAACATGACCCAGAGTAACCCTTAGAAATTTGTGTTGCAGATTAATAACAACCTCCGACATCCAGATGAAATGTTTTGGAGCCACGTGTCCATGTGCATTTTAAATTCAGGCGGCATCAGATCGCCCATAGATGAGCGGAACAACGGTACACTCCCCACCCCTCGCACCCTCAGTCACGTTCCCTCTGACCCGCCTTCCATCCCTGGGACCCCTGCCCCATCTGCAGCTCCTAATCACCTGTGCTGCCAGCCATGTACCAAAATGTTAGTTTGGTTTAGTTGTTTGGGTTGTTAATGAAGCTCAGTGTCACCCCAGAGGACACACACATGCACTCTTGCAGAACACACAATCAGCAGCAGCAGCTAGGGCCAACATAACGCAAGCTTGCTCTAGATTTCTGACTTTCAAAGCTAGCTACTGTTCCTGATTGATGCAAAATACTGACAGCGTCAACCTTGGCACACATCTGAGAAAACAAAGGCAAAATCACCAATCTTCAGTACTAGAAAAAGATACCATTGGGTTAAATTATTATTTTAGTATATTTACAGATACCCAAGATTATCTAAGACATTCTTGTAGACCTCTCTGAAATAAGGTCAAAGGCATCAGTATGAGTAAACCTCCAAATTCATTTCATGTCACACAAAAGAGACAGGTGGCAGGAAGATACCATCTGTCCAAAAGAACAGAGTAGGGCTTTTCTTACTTAGGATCCAATGCCAAGCCAGGACATTAGAGGCTGAGTGTATGGAAGCCATTATTGAGCTCCATCCTCTTTCCAAGTGACGATGATCCAGGCCCCCATTCTCCATCCATTCTCTAAGTTCAGGAATTCCTAGACACTGAGGACACCACTCTGACAATTTGCCCTAGATCACTTTACCACCTCCGCTCACCCTGAGGGAACTGAACCAGTCTTGCCTTATCTGTGGCTACCCTCAGGCACCATTACCTGGGAGAACCTGGCTGCTGTGTTGCCCTTTGGAGGTACATTTGACCTGGTCCAATTAAAAGGTTCCACCCTGAAGAAGGCTTTCGAGCACGGTGTACATCGCTATGGCCAGGCAACTGGAGAATTCCTACAGGTGGGCGGTAAGTCACTCAGCTACCCAACTTCCAATAGCTGTTGGTTCCAGAGCTACTAGGATTAGGTTGAGGTCAATGCCCTGAGCTCTGTACAATGAACAACATTTGCAAAATCTGATTTGGTACCAAATGGGCCCTTTAAAGAAGCTGGCCCTCTAAACACTAAGCAACTCAGCTGCCTTGAGTTCTACTAAAATCTTAGTTGCTTACGCATTTGGTATTCTTTTTGTTGTTCTTTTTTTAAAGTTCTGTTTATTGATTGCTTTGGAAGCATGCTAAGATTCAAAGAACCACAGTGCTCAATCAATATTAATAAAGGATGATTTGGGGAGAGGCAGCCTGTTGCACAGCCTAAAACAGCTCGTTCTGTGTCCCACAATCTAGAGGCAAGTTCTTAACCTCCCTGTGTGTAGTGGGAAAACTTGTCCTGATTATCTCTTGGGTTGCAGTGAAGATTAACAAGTATTTGCCATATTGCTAAGGACTTCTGAAAATTTTTAAAAAATAATTCCACAATCCAGTGAATTAATCCTTAAGAATCTTATTTTACTCTAAAATCATACTCTGATGTAACTTTTTGACATTAGACAGTGAGCTCACTCACATTTGGGTGTTACAGTTTTGGCAAGTCCTCCCTTTGCAGAAGACACTGTTGTCAGGATTGAGCAGTGACAGCATGGGTCACTCAGGCTGCTGCCTAAGGAGCAACCCCAACATCCAGCATTTTCTCAAGTGGGAACTGAGAACAAGGCAGCATTTTGATATTTTAGCAAAATTCTGGGTAGTTGCATGCTTTCTGTGTTACCCTATCCCAAATTGCATTTTAATTAAAATTGTCACAAATGCCCTATGCATCTCATCTCTATCAAAGCCATGACATCAAGATACTGGACCAATGAACTGCAGGCTTTAAAAGAGGGATGGGAGGGAGTAGTTCTCCTTTACAATCATCCTTACCTGTGTTGTCCAGATCCGGTTTTGGTCCAGTGGTTTAGACATTTCCTGGAATGTTTATGGAAAAAGCTAACCAAGAAAAAGCAATGGCAGTGTTGCCTCTACTTCTTCGATGAAATTTTATTCAAACTCAAATTACGAAGACCAAACCTAGTACCTCATTTCCATATCTTGGCAAAAATCCATTAGTAGATAACAATTCTTCCTTTGGATACAGTGAAAATATAGGCTCATTTCTTTTCTAGGAATCCATGTGGTATATGATCTTTCCCGAAAACCAGGGGACAGAGTAGTCCAATTACATGTTCTTTGCACCAAGTGTCGAGTGCCCATTTATGAGCCACTTGAAATGGATGGGATATATAAGGTGATCCTTCCAAGCTACCTGGTCAATGGTGGAGATGGATTCCAGATGATAAAAGATGAATTATTAAAACATGACTCAGGTAAGCACATGTGTCTGTTCCTCTCCGTATCCCAAAAGTACTCAGGAAAAAGCTAGGCTAAGAGGGTATCACAAGAGCAAAGTCAGAAAACCACAGGGAGTCCCATTACTGACATCCTTCTGCTTTGCTTGTTGGAAAACAGCAACATTACATTGAGAAATAATACCTTGCCACTCTCCCAGGATACATATTCATCTATCCATCCACCCCTAGAGAAAATCCAACTTTATTGGGAGTACAGCAGGTTGAACTCAGAGCCTCATGGATGACAGGCGAGCATTCTACCACTGAGCTATATCCCCAGCCCTTTTATTTTTCAGTTTTGAGACAGAATCTCACTAAGTTGTCCAGACTTATCCTAAACTTGTGATCCCTGTCTCAGCCTCCCAAGTAGCTGGGATTGCAGAGCATGCACCACCATACCCAGTAAACATCCACTTTTAAATTGGAAATATTTTAAAATCCTTTTAGTCTACACCTAAGCATCTACTTAAATTGTGAAGTGTGAGTTTAGCGCTCTCTCTCTCTCTCTCTCTCTCTCTCTCTCTCTCTCTCTCTCTCTTCTTTCTCTCTCTTTTCTGAGACAGGTCTTGCTGTGCAGTTCTGGCTGGCCTTGAGCTCACTATGTAGCCAAGGCCGGCTGCTGGCTTTGAACTCAGTGATCTTCCTGTCTCAGCCTGAGTGCTGGGATTATAGGCGTGCACCACCATTCCTGGCTGTTTTACATTTGCTGAAAAATCACAACTCAAACACTTTAGGTTGGAATGGGAAACCATCATATTAATCTAAATTTTCTTTCTTGAAACTTTTAGTATAAGTAGGTCAACAAGAGTGTCCTGTCAGTACAGAGGGATGATAGAGCTAATTATAGGAACAACCACACCTGACTATTGGTGGATCTTTTTGGCAATATTGAGTTTCCTTCTATATCAGCCTTCTTTTTGGAAATCCAGTTGAGAGCCATCTCATGTGCAAAAGTCCACTGGGCTAGAGCACACTTCTCTTCCTCTCCCTAGAACAGAAAGCAGCACACTCACAGGACAGACACATACACAGCTTCTCTGAGACCCTGGAAGCTCAACAGGCTCCCCCAAGCCTTGTAACAGTGGGCCTGCCATTTTAGCTGCTTATTCCAAGGAGGGGGTTGAATGGCAGAACCAGCCAAAGGAGGTGGCCCTTTCTGGGAAGAAAAGCACCAAGCACTTCTGTCCATTCCATGAGAGACAGTGGAAGAGCAGGCTGAAAAGCTGCACATATGACAAAAGGCTGCGGCTGTGCCTCACTCAAGCCACGCTGACGGACAGAGGAGAGAAGTGGCTCATGCAGGAAGCTGAGGAACCCTAGGCTTGAGGTGCTGAACTCCTGGCTGCAAAGTGGATCACAGGAGAGTATATGAAATGAAATAACAGTGCCTTCGCCAGAAACCATGGGGAGATGGGGAGTCCTCCTACATGGCGAACTCCCTGCTTTTTTTTGCTATATATATATA